AACTGCAATGCACTCACAGTTCCCGTGTGGGCTGCGATTCCATACATGGTGCAGGGACCTTTTCCAGCATTTCAGGAGGCACAGCAGCCCATTCAATCAATAAGCCACCATGCCCACGCAAATCACAGCCAGCATTGCCACAATGTGAACCTAGCCTTATTGATGATTATTCCTAATGTTTATATCTCATTTACAATAAATACATTTGCATGTCTTTACTGCCTCTCAGGGTCTATTCACACCAGCCGTAACGCATTTTTAAAACTATTAAAATGTTACAGTGACAATTCATTAAGTTCTGTCGGCCACCGCACACTGCAGATCGCCTTACCGTGCGCTGCAATGGAAAAAAGTACAGCCAGCTGTATTATTTACAGCGCACACCACTGCAACACGGAGATGTGAATCGGCTGTTACTCCCCCCCCCCCGAAAATATCATTCTTCTCTCGAAAAAAGCTGCTGCCATCTGTATTAAGGCATTATCCAGGGTCAGCATCTAATTCCTAAGCTAAAGTACTAGCCCAGGGATGATGCTGTTACACAAATTCTGGTGTCTGCATAGTAGTCTTACTTAATGCGCTGTGTGTACATATCTTACAAAGATCAGCACCAGCCTCTCACTCTTTAAGCTGCCAGAAAACTACAATGCTTCAAAAATCTCAGTGAGTAATTACTGGGGGAGGGGAGAAATGCAGGAAATGCTTCAATCCATCCAACAGCAGACTTAGACAACACTGCTTATTTGTACAGAGTAGTAAAAGGGAAAGAAGACAATCATTTGAAAAGATCACTGGCGCTGGTTAAGTGGCTCACATGCATCCAGGGCTGCCCTCCAATGAACTCCCTGTTCTGTATATTATATATCATCTATTGGGTATTCACTGCAACTGCTTTTATTATTCCCCTTCAACAAGAACAGGAAGTGTTCTTGAAAATAAAGATTTCCCATCTGCCACTGCAAAGCCATTTAGCTTCCTGTAGAACACCTGTGAAGTCCTCTATTCTCCCTTTGATACACATTTGCCTGTAAGTTCTTTATTGTGTTTGTCAAAATCATATACATAGCTAGATCATAATTAATTGTATCCAATGTGATTTGTAGGTAGCTGTTTGCAAGAAATGTATTTACTGTATGCATTTGTGAGAGACGTGTGCAAACATATTGTAATTTCAGTTTATGTGATTGTATTGCAGGTTTACAGAACTATTCACAGAAGTAAATTCAGTTTAGAATGAAACACAATGCGGTTCTGTTAGTTTTGTTAGGCAGCTATGGGCTAACCGTTACTAGGACAGCATACTCCCAGATACCTCAGTCAGAGTGACTTTCAATCAGAGTGTATTTAACCATTAGCCGCCCGGCCAATGGCTGTTTGGCGGCTTCAGATGTGTATCTGCATTCCGGGTGCACGCCATTTGGCGTGCTCCCGCACATGCGCCGTTTGCGCTAGTGCAGAGCGGCGCAGCAGTGCGATCTGTCATCGGCCGTGCACCTCGGACACGGCCGATGACAGATCCGAGTACCGGCTCCCGTTGCTGGTACCATGTGACCTGCTGTGACCAATCACAGCAGGTCACATGACAGTTGTATACAATGGATGGCTTCATTCATGATGCCATCCATTGTATACTAGTGCCTAGCTGTGAATGGTCACAGCTAATCACATGCACATGTCATGTGATTAGCTGTGACCAAATCACAGCTAAGCACAAAAAAAAAAAAAAAAAAAAAAAAAGCTGAATGAATCGTTTTCATTCAGGTAAATGCTTGCTTATATCAAAGTAATTCTTTGCTATAAGCAAATTGTGTAAAAAAAAAAAAAAAAAAAAAAATACTGATCACTTCCCCAAAGTAGTACAATGTTACTATGGTAACATTGTATTATTTTGGTCATAGTAAAATATGAAAAAAAATCTTAAAAAAAAATAAAAAAGATGTAATAAAAAATTAAATATAATAAAAAAATAAAAAAAAATTAAAAAAAAAAAATATATTTTTTTTTTTCATGCTGTCACCAGTCAGTGTCCCTGTTCACCGCCTTGCCAGTTATATGATGACGCTGTACTGCACTGGTGACAGTATGTAAAAAAAAAAATAGTGAAAATAATTTTTTTCATTTTTTTTTCATATTCCGAAAAATTATGACAAAAAAATACAACTTCAAAAAACTCGCCATGCCTCTTATGAAGTACGTCGGACTGTCTACTCTGCAAAAAGGGGTCATTTGGGGATATCTGTACTATTCTGACATTCTTGGACCTCAAGAAATTAGATTGGCCGTCAGTACTTCAGGATTGATCAATTTTCAGATCTATACCATAGTTTGTGAACTCTATAACTTTCCTAAAAACTAAAAAATACATCCTAATTTGGGTTATTTTCACCAAAGACATGTAGCAGAATACATCTCGGCCTAAATTTATGAAGAACAATTATTTATTTGTAAACTTTTATAACAAAGAAAAATGTGTTTTTTTTTTCCAAAATTTTTGGTCTTTTTTTGTTAATTTAGCAAAAAATAAAAACCCCAGCGATGATTAAATACCACCAAAAGAAAGCTCTAGTTGTGTGAAGAAAATGATAAAATTTTAGTTTGGGTACAGTGTTGGATGACCGCGCAATTGTCATTCAAAGTGTGAGAGCGCTGAAACCTGAAAACTGGCCTGGGCAGGAAGGTGTAAAATTGCACGGTATTGAAACGGTTAAACACTTGCAAACATTACTGAGCCCTGATAAAGACTGAATTCTTAAAACTAAAGTGGACCTTTAGTCAGAAAATTCAGTCCTGCTAGGTCACTTCAGGCTGACTCCTTTTAGAGGTATAGTGCCTATAAGTGCCTAACTGTTCCACTCTGCTCTGCAAATACTCAGTTGCTCTTATTTTTTGGCACTGTGCAAAATATCAGAGTCACTAGAGGCCAGTCTGCTGACAGCCTAAAGATTTACTGCTGCTCAGGGACTCTGGGCTTCAGCAAAATGGCAGCCTCTGGCAAGAAGAAACAGGAACAATGTTGAGGGCAATTTACCGCATGTTGTTATAGGTAAAGTTTTACATTAAAGTTCCACAAAAAATGTTTATTTCACAGGCTAACTGAAATTAAAGATGTATTTTATATAAGACAGTGCAGGGGCAATGATGATGTGCGGGTGCCATAACCAAGTTTATTGATTGATTTCAGTGGTTTAGTAGACTGTGCTTGAAAGCTATCAAACCAAGACTAATAGTTCTGTCATAGCCAGACACAATGCTACCCACTGGCGTCTTGTACTTCTTGCGCAGATCACCTGTTCGGAGCTGCCCACTCTGTGCACTCACATGGATGGGCCATGAATGGGTAAAATATAGGTTTGCTTTAATGAAATAGTAAATTCTTGTTGATAAAATTTAAAAAAATGGCACTCCTATAGGTTTAAATCATAATGTGCTAGTATGCACTGCATATTAGTACATTATGACCGAATTACCTACAAACAGAGCTCTCCAGCTCTGCGCTATCATGCATCTCCCCGGTCTCTTTGCCTGGTCTTCCTTCTGTGTTTCGTATCTTTGGCCGCTTGAATGACCAGGCCAAGGTGGAGTCACATTGCCACAGCACACAGAGCAGGCTGTAAATGTGGCCTGTCAGCGTTTTTTGTAATTCTTGAATTTGCTGCCACTTTAATGTAAATATTAGGGTTCCTACATATGTTAAATGATGTCCAGCCAATAGACCAGTAGCAATAGAAGATAGATGCAAAGACTCAGCATTTACTTGTATAGTTTGTGATCACTCTCCTACTCAATATTCATTGCTGAGCACCTTGTCAAGCTGCTGAAACTGGTTTCCAATTTAAAATGGCAGCAGAGCTTAGAAAAGCTACTGCAGAACCACAGAGGTTAACCTGTGCTTTATTTATTAGGAGCAAATCAACAGGATAACTTTAATTGGGCAGCACAGTGGCTAAATGGTTAGCACTTCCACCTGGCAGTACTAAGGTTGTTGGTTCAAATCCCAACCATGGCACCACCTGCCTGGAGTTTGCATGTTCTCCCTGTGCCTGTATGGGTTTCCTCCGGGTACTCTAGTTTTCACCCAAAAGACATGCTGGTAGGTTAATTGGCTCCTGACTAAATTGGCCCTAGTATGTGTATACATGAATGTAAGTTAGGGACCTTACATTGTACGCCCCGTGAGGGTTAGGGACTGATGTAAATGTACAATACAAATGTAAAGTGCTGCAGAAAATGATGCAATATAAGTACCTGAAATAAATAAAATAACCATACAATTTCAAGCTAATCAAACTTGCATGCTTGCTCTTACAATCTTACAAAGGTGGTGGGGTGGGTGGGCTGCAAAGCATCAGCTGGAAAAAGCTATTCCAACTGACCAACTTTGCTCTGAGCAGGTTCAGTCAAGGTACACCAGGTGGTAAGGAAGTCTACATATATACAAATGTTCCTTGATGTGACCATAAACAACCAGATTGGGCAATCATTCTCTAATGTTTGTAGGCACCTCTACTCATTGATGGCATTTTCTGATCATTTCATTACCTTCTTTCATTTGTTTTTTTTTTCCCCAGAGAGGAGTGTCCATTATATTGACATAAACAATTACCTGAAAGTTTGCACATGGCTGAGCACAGGGGGAGACGTAACCTCCCTATCGGTATGATTGTGTAAGTATTTCTGTGCTCAAAGGGGTACATTTTTTTGCATGGAAATATGTATTTTTTTTATTGTAGGCCTGTAAATTTTAGGAATAACTCACTGAAATCTATCTGAACAAGAGTCTAGTAAAAATGTTAAAATTTGAAACATGAGCTCATAAATTTTAATTTAATAAATAATGATAAAAAATAATAATATAATAATAATAAATGTAATTCAATAATATAATCAAACCAAAAACAATGAAATTTGAAATATAGCGCCAACTTCGCACATCACTGAGCAAAGTCACAAAATCATTTTCAGTGTCTGATGACGAATTTCCCCACAAATCATTATCGCTCAATTCTACAAGTGGTTCTAATTTACTATGGCTGTATTCTAGCTGGTCTAAAACCGCTTTTGACCTAAAGGGACGCTTTTTGGATACCATGGACATTTCTCAGTTTCCAGGCAGAAAGAACGGTAAAAATGCAGGCAGGGCACAGGACAAAGCACTAGGGACAAAATGTATGTGAAATGCTTTGATACAGTAATGTTTTACTGTGTGATTTTAGTGTATTTAGTAAATGTCACTTTTTCACATTTTTAAATTTCCTGCTGTTCCGTCCCCGTACATCCTGACGTTGCAGGGAACGGAACCCAGAAGACAGATGCCGGCATCGGCCGGAAGACATTGCCAGGGACACTGCAGGAGGGACATTGCGGGAACGCAGGACAAGGTAAGTGCAGAAGAGATCCTGGAGCAACACTGCAATGTATTCCCGTGTAGCTCGGGGCTACCGCTTGTGGTGCTGAAACTTTACCCCGAGCTACACTCAGGAATACCTCCAGGGAGGTTAATAAAACTGGAGAGTGCAAAATCTGGTGCAGCTCTGCATACAAACCAATCAGCTTTCAGGTTCTTTTGTCAAAATTTAATTGGACAAGCTGTAACTGAAGTTAGAAGCTGATTGACTACCAGTGCTGATTGGCACAGCTGTACCAAATTCTGAGTGCTCCAGTTTAAGGGCTCATGTACACTGCAGCTGATAAACTCACATTTAGGAGCTTTTCTGCGTTTTTTTTCAGCAGCCCCCGAATTCTCCCTAATGTATTCCTATGTGTCTTTGTACACATAGTCATTTACCGTCGTTTACAGGCAGTTGAGTTTACAGTCGTTTTTTTTAACGCACCAAACTTGCGTTCAGGAGTAGATTTTATCAGCATTTCAAACGCCAAACGCTTGTAAACGTGGCTAATCACATTTATAAGCGTTTGCGTTTAGAAGCATTTTTTAACTGTTCCATATCCAGATGCTGTCCAGAGCCTTTTTTCATCATCAGAAATGCATGCAAAGCATTTTCCAGGTACTTAAATGGACCTAGCACATCAGCGCAGCCAGTTCCAGGTTTCGCATGAAGGAAAAATTGGTAGAACGTGCTGCATTATGCTCATGATGGGATCCATAGTGAATACAACCAGAAAAGACAGGTCATCTCATCACACACTGGTCTCTCTGCTTCTGCTCTCTCAATTTCTCTCAAAATGTCTGAAATAGTTATTTTTTTACTGTTTTTCAGTGCATTCTGGGCATTTGCGAGGGTCTCCTGAGGTTATCTTTTAAAATCGCTTCTAAACGCAAACACGCATGAACGTGGTATGCAAACACGGCTAAACTGACATTTGTTAACCTACGTTTTCCAGTCAATTTCCATCGTTCAGAAGAGTTTTCTAAACGCCCCGTGTGCATGAGCCCTTAGTAAATTTGTTCTACAGAGTTTTAAATAATTCTGTCAGATATAACTGATGAACTTACAACCCTGGTAAACGTCACTGTGAAAAAAAAGGGATACATGTATTGGTTTATTTAGAGCTGCGAACAAACACTACTTCAGTTCAGCAAGTGCATGGGCAATGTTTTTATTAAAGCAGTTCTATTTCAGCACCTCCTGGACATGTCTGGGCGTAGCTCTGTCAGTGAACTTTTACTCATGCAGATCACACTCTATTAGATTTGCCGTTCCTAACCTTCCCCCAGTACCTGCGTGCAGCCGTTCACCATGACCCAAAATAATGTTCGTGCCAAAGAGGATGGAGGGACGTTTTCAAAGTCAGCTGAAAGTAAAACCACACTCTCTCCACTTCAAACAACCAAAATAAACTCTTAAAAAGCAACTGATTTATTTTTTTAAGGGTTAGCACATATAATTTTGCTGTGTGGGAGGTGACAGGAATAAATGAAGTATGATTCAAAACCACTATCCGTTCATGAACAAAAAACACTAATTTTACTGATAATGTGTTTATATATTTCCAGTATACTTGAAGCATATCATATTTTTTTAAAATGTCAAATTGAACAGATTAGATCTTAATCAAGGTACTGCAATAAAATTAACTCCCGCAATGTGTTCCAGAGACGATGCTGTTTCTAAGCAAAAAAAGAAACGTGCTAGAAGGTTGTGATGAAAGCTGCTATTCCATGACAAATATGGCACAAACTAAGTGAATGAGGTCAGCGTTACTTCCCATTCATTGTGTGTATTAAATCAGGGAAAAGCTCCTTCTACTGGAGAGTTTCCCTTTTACTTTAGCTTTGAGTGCCGTAGACGTTTAGGACTGAATATTGACAGGATCGTTTGATAATCAGCCTGTATATGGAACTACTAAAAATACACTGAGTATTTACTGTCAACAGAAAAAGCTACCAAGAAGCTCAGTGTTCAGGAAAAAGGTTTACAAGGGTATTTACCCACTTGCCCTCCTGAGGATTTACCCCCCTTCCTGACCAGGCCATTTTTTGCGTTATGGCACTGCGTTATTTTAACTGACAGTTGCACGGTTATTCAACGCTGCACCCAAATGAAATGTATGTCCTTTTTTCCTACGAATTGAGCTTTCTTTTGGTGGTATTTGATTGCAGGTGCATTTTTTCTTTTTTGCCCTATAAAAAAAAAGCCCAACATTTTTGAGAAAACAAAATTTTTTTTTACTTTTTGCTGTTAAACATGTCCAGTTAAAAAAATTTAAAAAATCAAAATTCGTCATAAATTTAGGCCAAAATGTATTCTGCTACATGTCTTTGCTAAAAAAAATCCCAATACGTGTAAATTAATTGGTTCACGTGAAAGTTATAGCATTTAAAATGGCGGTATATATACTGGAATTTTTTTTTTACTAGTAATGGTGGCGATCAGCAACTTATAGCAGGACTGCGGTGGGCATTCTGACACTGCGGGAAACTGACTTGGTGTCACTGACATCCCCAGTGACATCAATACAGTGATCAGTGCTAAAAAAAGCACTGACACTGTAGTAATGGCACTGGGCAGGAAGGGGTTAACATGAGGTGTGCTCAAAGGGTTAACTATGTGCAGGGAGTGGGGAAGCCGTGTAAGTGTGCTTCACTGTAAGCACACTGCCTGTGTGTCCGAGCCAACAGGGAGGAGGACTGTTAGTAAACAAAGCAGCCCTCCTCCCCGTTGGAGATCCTCAGTAATCACCAGGCGCTGGCGGGGAATCACCGGGCGGGACCCGGTGACTGACAGCAGCAGCCGTGAACCATGGCACGGGTAGGGCATGCGCGTGGCTTGCACACGCCCCTTACCCAGAAATGCAAAATCACACACACACACACATATATATATATATATATATATATATATATATATATATATATATATATATGTATATTTCTACTATAGGGCAGCGGGGAAGCGGTTAAAGTGGTTGTAAACTCTTACATATACCCAGTGAAGTGACTGGCCTCAGGTGATACACAATAGATTAAACAAATCCTCCTATATAAGTTGTGCCTGTCTATCTGCAGTCTTCTCTTCTCTAAATCAATTCAAAGTGCTAAAGTGTAAAGTGTGAATTTATAAACCTTGTCTGGGAATTCAGAAAAAAAAGGGGCAGAGCTGAAATTACACAGTGCAGAGCACAGTGCGAAGAGCTCTGAGAGTTGATTGGAGGGAAGGGACACACCCTCCTCCACACAGCATACAGGAACAGCTGAGGCAGTCAATCTGCTGGAGGTCCCTCCCCTGTCACCATTTTTCTCTTGGTGTCAGGAAAACTTGTCAGAAGTGATTCATGCTGATAGCAGATAAACAAAGCAGCAGAGAAATTACACCAAGTGCTCTTAAATGAGACAAGTACACACTATAGAGGGATATGCTTTGTTCATATTTCATGTCTGAGATTTACAAACGCTTTAAGGTTGCAATTGACAAAATGATTGGGTGCTCCCTAGTAGGCTGCTAAATGCAAACCTACCAGGAATTTCAAACCCTAAACCCAAACTAGTGTGAAGTTGGCAGCATTTTAGCACTTCTGTCCACTACCCTAATCCCAATTACTGCTCACTTTAAAATATTGATGCTTTCTGGTATGGACTACCCATAACACTCCCCGTGCCCTTCCACAATTCAGTGCTGGAGTCCTAAGTGGCGTAAGGTGAGGATACACCAACATTGTACAAGACTTAATACTGGATATTGTTGGTGTTAGCCATCAATCTTTTGCAGGGTGGACAGCGGCAGCACTAAGTGTATACGTAGGCACCAGACGATGCTTGTTTTACAATGTGGGGGGAAAAGGGAAGTCTGTAACTATATTGTAAAGTCAATATGCAACTATACACTGCAGCAAGAGTGAAGAAAGAGAGGAAGATCTGTAAGTCACCCCTCACTCATTAGGCAGTGATGTATACTGCAATTTGAACTTGCGTTATTAAGTTCTGTATACAGCAGGAATTTCTAAGAAATCTGCTAAGATCAGCCAAACGTGAAAGAGATTGTACAGATCCATCTGTTGCTTTAAGTAAAAAAATATATTGTATAATATAAAAAATATTCTGTATTTTATGCAGTATTTCACATTTACCTAGCTAAAAAATGAAAAATATTTTAGGAAATTGTATTTTTTAAAACATAATAAAGAAAATATACAAAACACTTTACAGTCGCTTTAAACAGGGAGATGACATGAAAGAAGAAACAACAGCAAGGCATATGAGTATTCATTCCAATAGAGAAGAGACCACGAAGATAGATTACTGCTGATACTGAAATCCAAGGGAATTGAAAAACTAACCAGTTATATTGAATCTCAATTACAACTTGGAATGTCTCAATTTACTCAAAATTTACCATACACATTTGATGCTTGCAGGAATACGCACAACTATGATACCGTGCATAGTGATAGTTCACTAACAAACGTGGCTTACTAAAAAAAAAAGCACACACAGTGTGCACACAGGTGGTGGCCTATCTAAAATTAAAACAGGATTTTCTCTGATGTTTTTGGTTATCTTACATCTATTAACTACAGTATATTGCATATGGAGCAATATTACAATGTGAAGTATGTACTGATATCATTAAAGATGACTGTAAAAAATAATGGTCTATTACAGTGCCCATACTGAAATGCTTAGGCCATGTCAAGCAAGCATGCAATTGCTTGTTGTAATATTTGATATCACAAATTTATAAATTGGTAAACTTAGTTGTAAAACTGATTAATACAATCATAATTGATAACTTGGAGAGGTTGGTGTACAGTTTTTTGGATCTGCTTCTTTTTCTAATGCATGGGCCTTTAACACCTTACAACCCGGTCACATCAAAGCTGATTTTGAAATCGTGTTAATTACAGTGAAGTCGCATGATTTCAAAATCGGTGACCTGACGATTTCAGTTGCGATTTGCAAGA